GGGGAGCGATGCCAAGCGGCCTCTTCAGTGACGGAGCCTGAGGGGCGCAAGCGGTGAAATGGGTGAATGAATATAAACTACTCTCGTTCTTCCCTACCCGCTTTTTTATACCGTGTGCTGGTGCCACTGACCTGCGCGCGTGGCTCGGTGGGGCCCGTTTCTTGTGCTGAAATCAAAAGTTGCGTTCGCTTGGGCCTTCTGAAAATTACCAGTGCATGTCACCTGCTCGGATGTCTAATTCCTGTGAAGTCAAGCAGTTTTTGCAGGGAGCCGTGCATTTCTGTTGTTTAAACTCAAAATGGAATTGGGACTGGGAATGTGATCAATTTCACTTTGGGAACTCCTCTTGTTTGGAACTGCTGAATATAAAAAAAAACTTTCAACTGCTCTATTTGATATGTTTGAGATGTCTACGAAATACCCTCATTCTTTTGTTGATGCTAACTTTATCAGTCCCATGTTTGTTTTTTTTTAAAAAAAAGGTCCATGACATTTCCTTTGTTGTGACAGTACTTTTAAGATTAAATCCATTTGAAGTTTCTTTGACAGTAAGCACACTTGAATATTTTGAATGGCTTGATGATATAAATATATATGTGTACATATACTAAAACGCATGTGCTTGAGTGGCAAGCTAGTCTATACTGGAAAGACCTCTCAACATTGATTTGCTAGAAAGGATTTGAAACTTGTTTAATCTACATCTGCAATATTACTGGGCTTGCGTTGCTTTATTAATAAACTGATAGTTTAGAAGGTGCTTTTTGTGTTTTTTTTTTTTTTCTCAATTTTAGGTCACAATGGGTATTACAAGGAGGAGCTTGGATAGAATTTCTAGGCCTGCGTCTAGCTCAAAAGCTTATCCTAATTGTAGATCTTTAAGTACATCTATGGAGTTATTAACACCAGAACCATGTTTGCCAAAGGTAATTCTTTTCACCTTCAGTGACTTAGAAACTCTGTGCCTAATTCTTCTTAGTAGAATGCCCAAGAAATAAGATTCTGGTTTTTAACTTTGGATAGAGTTCTGGGCTCTGCAGATGTGCTAAGGGGTTATGTGAAAGATCATGAATATGATTTACTCGTTATGTATGCGTAGATTGATGTTTAATTTCCTTTTCTGCATCTGTGTTACTTTTATGTTTGCCACAGAAAGGGCTATTCAGGACTAAAACCTGGAAAACTTGGTTGTCTTCCTCTTTATATTTAATCAGATTATTAAATAAATTTTAAGAAAAAATATTTGAAATTCTGTCAGTAATGTGTAGACACACAGCTATACACTGTTGGTGCAGGAGCCAGGATGTGCATAATTTCACTTCCATTCCATTTGTGCTTTTAAACTTAAGTGGGAATAAAAATTATTTTGCTTATTAAAAGAAAGCATTTGAGCAGTCCTCACAAGTTGAATTTTTGACTACAAGGCTATCTCAGGCTATGTTTAAATCAAGTTTTAAATAATTTTCCTGATATTCGAAGAAATGTGTCAGCTCCAGGAATTCAACAAAGTCCATTGGAAGAAGGTGTTCATCCATCCTCTGGGAGAAATTGATCTTGGGGATTAACTTAATTTTGGGAATGGGATATCTGATATGTTGAGATGTAGGAACTAGGATTTGGGAATTAGAAATTTAGATTGATTTACTTAAAATTCATCCAATTGTATTGTACCTCTGTTCACCTGTCTATAGAATGGGATCATACCTAGATGCTTCACAGAAGTATGAAAAAATTTTTTATAGGTTCACAATCACGTATTAAGGTTAACATCAGATAACTTTGAATCCAAATTCTGACCTAAACATTGTAGAGTATTGCGTGAAAATTGCAATTTCTTGAGATTAATAAATTAGGCATAAACTTTTCAGCCCTTCAAAGACTGTAGAAAGCTCTATACTATGAGCAAGAGACTGGGATTCTACCTGGCTCAGAGCACCCACAGTGTCAGGAAATGCATGAGGCTGTTATACGCACAGACCCTTAACTGGTTGGCTGTACCCTCTGCTGCAGCAGAAATGGCATAAACTTTTGGAATCATTTCCTAGTCTGGCAATCCCAAATCTGGCAGTATGTGGAATGATGACCCTGAGAAAAAAGGCTCATCAGTGTGATATCGAAGAAACAGAACTCTGTATCAGATCTGAACCTTGTTTGTTTATTTAAGAAGTGCTCTGCAGTCTTCTGTAGAAGCGTTGTTAACCTTTGTGATAGTATGTGATTATTGTGATTGTTTTTTTTTTCCCCTCAAAGATTTCTGGTTTTGTGGTAGTAATTGATTTGCATTTTATAGGTTGATTCACCTGTTGGTTTGACTGGTAGTCATCAAAGAGGCAGTCTAGAATACTGCTGTCCAAAAGAAAACAAACGTGATGACAGAGAGAAATCTGATGTCAGGGAAGTGAGAGCAGATCAGCAAACCTCAGTGGAGAGTACGACGTCTTTTCTTCAGAAGTGTATACTGAATCCCAACAAGTTGCCAGGTGTGAGAATGCCTAAAGCTTTCTTATGTTGTGGATGGACCAAATACCATGTTTGTATAGTTTGGGTAAAATTCTATTGGTGGAGGGAAGAGGATGCAAACAGGTAAAGTTCTAGGAGGTGTCCAAATTCATACCTTCACTTCTCTTCACTATTTTGAATCCATCTTTGAAGGAAATGTGTTATCACTGCCATTGCCACTACAACTTGTGTCTTGTGGCAACTAAGCTGTGACCTGCACCTTGGTTATGGCCTAAAAGATCGATAGAAACCATCTGCCTGTGTTCCATGGAACCGTGTTAGAAAGTGTTTTCAATAAGGAGTTTTTGTCAAACTTTTCACAAATATCATGATCATCTGTTAGAAATTTTGTATCCTAATAATGTTCCACCAGTCCGAAAAATTAGAAATTATGGTTGTAAGTTATAGTATTTAAAAACTGAACAGTACTAATACTAATAATGTACTTTAAAAATAAATATCCAATATCTCATTTTAATGAAAGCACTTCTACAAGTGCTTCAGATGGCATTCTTTTGGCAGGCTATAAAGGGTAATAAACTTTCTAGAGCTTCTGAATATTTAAAAATAGAGAAGCAAAGGCCAATATGTGAAGCAGAAAGTTTGGATACCTTCTTCAAGTTTAGGTAAGATTTCATGACAGAATTAAGGTCAAAAGAAATCCCTTGATTCCCGCTCCTATGCTTAACACGAGTCCGGGTGTAGTAGCACATACCATTTTTAAAACAGTAATCCACTGCAGAGGCTCTGTAGTGATCCCTAACTGATGAAAATGTATTTTGGTCTGTTAATTGTTAACACGTCAAACAATATCTTCAAAAGTTTATTTCACATCTATTTTAATGTGAAAGGCTTTTTCCTGTGTTTTTCAGGATGTATTTCTAATTCAGATTCTGGAGATGATAGCACTGAAACACAGACTTCAAAATGCTGTGAACCTTGCCAAGGAAAACTAAGTAATGCAGAAGCAGGTATTACTTTTCAGGTGTATAAAGTGAACAGTGCAATAAATAACACCTTTTTTTTTTTTTTTTTTTTCTTTTTCCCTTATTAATGCTTCTAGGAGAGTTTGGGACCATAGTGTATTTGGGTGTTTATTATATAGTTATAAAGAAATATTACAAATTGAAAATGTATATGCATTGTGATATTCAAGAGGTGTTGGATGAGTTCTTTATTTGAAGATTATTTTATTAAAGGATATTAGCTTTCTTTAATGATATAGTATTACATAGGATATTACATTACTATATTACATATATTATCTTACATATATTACATATGATAGTTTTACATAGATTTGGTCAATCTAATAAGGCAGAATCCGGTGGTGATTCTATCCAGTGCAGCAGTGGTGATCATCTAACATAATACTCATTTCTTCAGAACAGACATTGGACAGAACTTAACTTCAAAGCTTGACTCAGTAGTTTTAGGTTCAAATCCATTTGCTGAGTTCCAGCCAGTTGAAATAAGTGCTTTTTTTTATCTTCTGTCCTTGAGACTTCCCTGGAGCTCAGTTAGATTGTTATAGCTCACCCCTTGTTGTATTACTTATCTCTTTTTATGGCATAAAGTTGACCAATGCATCACAGTAAATGCTTGACATCAGTAAGTGTGTAAAGCATTGGACCTCAAAAGATTAGAAAATGAAAAAGTATTGGAGGACTCCAAAACTTGGAAGTCTGTGGAATAGAGACAGTGCTACAAGTGTTTCCTCTACTCTTGCTGTGGAAGCTAAGTGTTACCCAAAAAGAGGGCAGAGCATGAGGATGCTATAGGAGGGGGAAAAGCTAAAAGTCATCAGAAATTGTAATCTGTGTGTTTAGGAAGAAAAGAGACAGTACAGAAATCTATTTTAATTAAATAATGGTAGTTTCGATGTTTCACCATTTCTATTTTTCAAAACCACATTTTTCTAGAACAAGTATCAGAACCTGGTTTGACTGAGATATAAGTCAAGACTGAAACTTCTATAATGTTTAAAAGTAGACACATTACAGTCTCTCTTAACCTCAAAATTATTTATTTAATGAATGACATTTTGACATTTATTCTACTAGTCAGTCTGAATAAATTTTTTATTTTTAAGCTTATTTTGTCTGTGATTTTTGCTGATACTGTGGAGATGTTGTCATTCTTCCATTATGAATTTGAATCAAATCACTTGCCCAAAATGAGGGGCTCTTCCTCCTCCACACCCTGTTATCTAACTGCTACAGCTAAGAGTTTGATTCAGTGTTCTGTTACAACTTTTATATTTTTCCCTGCTACAAACAGATCTTGAAATGAACATGATAGATATGCTTGAGAATAATTGTACGCTTATCTGTGGTTGTTATCAAGTTAGTTGTACTGCTTTTTAGTTTGTTTTTGTTTTTGTTTTTTTTTTAAGTTGAAATGCTTCAAGCTAACATTAGTTTTAAATCTGTTCTGCAGCAAACTCTTCCAACTTGGAAGATTCTGAAGAAACAGCTGTAGATCCTCAGATTCAAGCAGCTATAAAGCAAATGAATAAACTTGACACAATACTGGCCAAAAAAAAGTTTAAGGAGAGAGCAATTAAAAAACAAGGCAACGAAATGAGGACAAAGCTCTGGGACGAACTTCAGGTTAGAAGTATTCTGCTTATTTTGTAAGTAGAATATCTTAGAGTACTGTCTTACAGAATGATCATATTTCACAGATGCTTTTTTTTATTAAATAGCTCACAGTTGGCTGATTAAAGTGAAGAAATTGATCTTAAAAAGTAACTTCAAATAGGTTTTAGTATATACTGGCTAGGCAGGCTTTGAAAGAAGGCCTTGGTCCTTAAAAATTGGTCTGACCAATAACCAAATATGCAGCTGTCTAGGTGTGTTTTGCTAGCAGTCTTGTGTTTGAGCTCACCACTTGCAGGTATGATAAGGTGTGACATGAGGTAATGTCTGTGAACCCAGACCTAAAAGCATTTTTCTGGTCCAGTGTGACCGTTCTTAGGCCCATCTATTTCAGTACTGTTTATTATTGATGGAATTAGAGATGTCCCCTGAAGAAGGCACGAGAACACTACAGCACAGATTCCTTCACGTTATTCCTATCCTGGTCTCTAGCAGTTAAATGTCACTTTAAACCTTGAAACATGAGATTTAGTATTTCCTCAATTTAGTATTGTATAATTTACATGAATACAAGAGTCCATTGCTGAAAAGATATGGTTGCGGTCGGTTTGAGTACATTTCATAATTTCAATGGATTTGGATTGAGAGCCAAATATATGTTACAGAACTATTTTGTCTTGTGAAATGTGTCTCCATGTAAGAGACAATACGTAACAGAGGCTTTAAAGGTCCACCATGTCTTCATCATAACTTTAGGAAACGTTCAGATAGCCTCAAGAAGAAAATAAAGCAGTAAGTAAATATTGCCACTGAACAAGAAATTTTGAATAGGGTCTGAAGTTTGTTAGACCTGATAAGCCGACAATGTGTTTTGCTTTAAAGTATTTACTTTAAAGTAAATATTTGCATGTGTCTGTATATTTATGCTTCATTTCTTTTGAATAGTCTATCAGTACCACTGGAAGCCATGAGGAGATAGAAAACACAAAACTTTTTTTAGCTTTGATCTCATCATGGCAGGATACAGCTGGTAAGTAAAAGAGAGGTAAATACCCTGATATAATTATTCTGTATTTTTAATATTTTTGTTGGATACTATAAAAATAAAGCTTTCAAACTTTTACAATAAAATAATATTTGCCTATAAAAGTATATGAAGGGAATATTTGGAAAATTAACTGAAATAATTTTTGCGTTATCACAAAGGTAGAAGCTGTACTTTAACATTAATTTTGTTTATAGAGACTGCATTTTTTCAAAGAACTGGCTACTCTAGAAGGGTAGAAATCCAAGATAATTAAAACTTGCATTTTTCAAGATGGTGGCAAACACAGATGGTTTCAGGAAGTACACATAACTGGTAACACTGGTAAATTAAAGTTATGACAGCAGATACAGGGAAAATGAAAAGTGGAAACCTATTGAAAAACTTGGATGTCTTTATCATTTTGGAATATCTGGGCAATAAGCAAGGAGTTCAAAATTTCTTCAGTAAACAAATAAAATGATGAAGCTACTAATGTGTGGTTACTGGTGGTCTTAGTGAGAAAGTTCACCAGATTGGAGTACTTGGTGTAGGAAGGGCAGGAAATTAAAAAGTATTAGGCCTAGAAATGTTACCTAGAAGCTCTAGGGATGTGAGCCTTGCCACACATGTATCTTGGAGAAAATTTTCATGTGGGAGTGAGAAGGAAGCAATGGCAATGCCACGGTAAAGATTTCATAATATGACAGGTCCAGAGGGAGGGAAATCCTGAGCCTTTTTAGGAATTGTTAACAGAAGAACCAAAAGAACGAGACCAAATTATGACACTAACTACTGAGTTATATGTTGGAAAACAACACAGGAAAATGCGTAAACAGCCCAGATCTTGGAACATGGTCCAAAAGGGAGTATGAGTCTTTTACATTGAATTTGATACTGATTGAGTTACATTTAATTCACTTCTAAAAGATCTTAAGATTCTAAACATGAGAAAGAATGTCAGTAAAAGGGATCATGAAATAATATAGAGTGTGATTCTAAGGAAAATATGTGAATATGAAACATGAACTTAGTTTTCTTAATAGGCTTTTTTTCTGAGAATTCTGGAGAAGAACATTTAGAATAGGTGGCAGTTTTAAAAAGTGAAACTATGTTAAAGACATGACAGCAGACTATTTTCAGGAAGGTAAGATCTGATCTGTCTGATGAGATAATTTCTGAGTTTCATTGTGAAGTGATGAGGAAGACAAAAATATTCAAAGTGGAAGTGAACACACTGATAAGAATAAATGTTTGGCTTTTAGGTTTTTTTAGTAAAGCAAATTTCCATCTTAAGTAGCATTTAAAGCATCAAAATCTATAGCTGCCTTAAAAGTAGACAAATGACTAAGGAAGGATTGAATTCTTTAACAGGAAAGGTAAACAAATACTTAATGATAGAGAGAAATGTGCAATATGCTACATAAAAAAAGACTATGATCAAAATTACA